ATATATAGCACAAGAGATATATATATATATATATATATATATATATATATATATATATATATATATATATATATATATATATATATATATATATATATATATCGAACAACTAAATTTGGGCTCGAGCCTTTGTCGAACCTGGTCGTCGAGTTCGCGAGCCGGCTCGGCTTATTTACCACCCCTACTCCTATATATGCAATAATGGGCCAAAAATTCACTTATCATAAAAACATAATGGGCCAAAAGATATATTCTCGAATAAACAATAAAAGGCCGAAAAACAATGGGCTAGCCCAGAAGCTATATCCAAATTGGCAGTCATACAAAAAATGAAAGGGTAAAATTACCAAAAAGTACATCCATCAAATTACTTCTAGAACCCTCTTATCATTTGCAGAAAACCCCCTCCCCTCTCTTGCAGAACTTTCTAGGGTTTTGTTATCCTCTTTCTTAAATCTATCAAATCAAACCACCACTCATATCTTCACTCTCCCACCTCACTCTTCGCTATTCTCAGGTATAATCTGCTTCTACTCCTTCGTTTTTCCCCCAAATCGTCTCTCGATCTCTTTCAATTTAACGGCGTTTCTTCCAATTTAATTTAATTAGCCTCGATTTTGTTAATTTTTTTTGTTAATTTCAGTTCGCGAGCAAGAAGAATGGCAGCTGCACAGTTGACTTCCGCTGCATCCTCAATTTCATCGAAAGGATTCGTCTCATTTGAAGGGCTGAAGGCAGCGAAATCAGTAAATGTTTCATCTTTTTCGCCTCTGAAGCAGAATGCAATTCCCCTTCGGTCATTCCGCGGCCTTATTGTCAAGGCCTCCACCACTGTTGCCCCTAAGGTACATAGTTTCTTCTGTTTTCATTTCAGTATTGCAACTTCTGTATATTGATTTTATTTTTTTATTTTTTTATTTTAATCTTATGTTGAATATTGATGCTACTGGTTTTATGTGTTCTGCTGATATAATAAGCTGAATTTATGTGTTCAAATTTCATTTGCATCATAAGATGCTGTTTGCATTGTCGGCTTATCGATTAACGTGTCGTTCAATTGAAGATAAAGGGGTGTATCTTTGATATTTAGATTTCAGTGCTGCTTCTATTCAATCAAGAAACATTATTAATTTGTCGTTCAATGGGCGCGATAAAATGGATTGCCTTTGATTTCTAGATTCGATTCTGTTTGCGTTTCTTAGTGTTGATTTTTTTTTCGTGTGTGTTAAGTACAATTAACTCATCCCATACACTATGAACCTTTCCAGTACACTACTCTCAAGCCATTAGGCGATAGATTGTTGGTGAAAATTAAAATAGCGGAGGAGAAAACTTCGGGAGGCATCTTACTTCCGACAACCGCGCAACCAAAATCTCAAGGGGGTGAGGTTGTAGCTGTTGGAAAAGGCCGTACAATTGGAAAGAACAAGGTCGATGTTAGCGTCGAGGTATTACCAGAATTTATGTCATTATTATTTGCATTTTACGTTTTATACGGATGATCAGTTGGCTTACTTTATCATGATATCTTTGTCTAGACTGGTATCCACGTGGTGTACTCGAAGTACGCAGGAACTGAAGTAGAGTTCAATGGATTGAAGCATCTTATTCTCAAGGAGGATGACATTGTCGGTACTCTTGTTACCGACGATATTAAAGATTTGAAACCCTTGAACGACAGAGTTCTCGTACAGGTAGAACCTAAATTGAATTGTGTTCGTCGAGCTTTTCATTTAAAAAAAAGTGACTGAGTGATAGTGAAATGTAGCAGTAGATGGTAAAAAGATGATTTTTTTTTCAGGTGGCTGAGGCGGAGGAGAAAACCGCTGGTGGTTTGTACTTAACCGATGCAAGCAAGGATAAGCCTTCAATCGGCACAGTAAGTTTACAATTCTTGGAACCCTCTTTTTTGGAATCATTGAATTAAGAGTGTATTTTTGGAGATCGCCACATAAGCGTTGTTCTCGATTAAACAGGTGATTGCCGTGGGACCCGGTCCACTAGACGAGGAGGGCAAGAGGAAGCCACTGTCGGTTGCTCCTGGGAATACCGTTTTGTACTCAAAGTACGCTGGCAATGATTTCAAAGGCAACGATGGCAAAGAGTACATAGCACTTAGAGCTACTGATGTTATGGCTGTCTTAGCTTAGTCGGTTCCCACTCTTTTGCCTTCGGTTTTAAAAATTTATAAACGGCGATATTGTTGTAATTTAGACTCGAGTATGTTCCTTTTTTTTCAGCTTCGATAAAGCATCTCGAGTGTAATGAGTTTCGAATTTCTCAAGAACTCTGCTCTTTTTTTTTGGTTTATAATCTGAGAATACAACTAGTGAGCAACAAGTAATGCATTCCCGAAATTGCTGAGAAATTAAATTATCGTTAGCGGTTGAATGACGAGGCAGAATTATCGTCGTAGTGTGATTTCCATGCATTATTACCACTGTGTGTTCCACTGCAAGCTTGGGTTTGGACAGGAATTTGTCCTAAATCTCCATCCAAGCTCATCTGCGATACCTCGGAAGACGATAATATTTTTATGCTCTGAACACAGCTCAGAAATTCCCTGCTTGTTGCAAACGCGAATATCAATGTGAGAATATTGTTCCTTAATATATGAAAGAGAGAATTAGCTTAAAATACTTACTCCCATGGATCGTCTCCGACGAGTAATATGTCGTTTTCGTGATCTATGTACACCAGCTTCCACTCGTTCCGCTGAGGATCTTCTAGAAGCCCTTCGATTCCAAACATACGTGCAAGATCATGCCTAAGCTCTTCGTATCCTTTATATCGAGTAACGTCTATAGTTCTTCCCACCGATCCTCGTTTTTGAACCTTCACATTTTCGAACAATATTTACGAAACTATCAATGTGCAGAGAGAGAGAGAGAGAGAGAGAGAGAGAGGTACCTTGGTGTACGTTCGCATGCGTTGTTGAGTCTGATTAGACCACAACCCGCCATTTTGAACGCACGTTTCGTTTAAGGGAGCAATATCGTTCGAACAGCCTGGTTTAAAAGACATAATTGGCACTCCAAACGACTGAGAATTGATTCCAGACGACAAGTCTGTCTCAATATTTTGCATATTATTATCCTTGGCAGAGTCGAAGCCTCCCCTCGACAACAGAGCATCAGGGGCAAATCCGTCAATACCTGTCGCCCCAAAAGGAAACCCGTTTCTGCCATGTGACTGAACATCTCCATCAAATCCGTTCATCGGAAAACTATTCTGCTGGTGGTACGAGTTTGCTGACGAAGCAGCATCCATGTCAGCACTCTTGTGTTTTGGCAGCTCGTGCTTTATTCGAACGTCTATCTTACTATGACTCAAGTTAGGGAGAGGGTGAATCAACGCGTTACCCAGCAATGCATAAGGTCCCGTTTGGTTCTGTAAATCGTTTTTCGACTGAGAATCCGTCACTGGATTGATCGATGGTGAGGGCAGTTGTTGCTGGTGCAGTTTCTGAAGAAGTTGCATCTGCTCCGAAACACGGTGTAATTGTGATGCCTGTGGGCCCCCCACGATAGGCCTCTGAGACAAACTCTGTAGTTCAGGGAATTGTATAATTTGCTGCCCTTGTGACCTATTTTGAAAGATGCCTGATGGCGATGGCGATTCGGTGAATTGCTTGAAAGACAATTCCCGAATTGTCGAATTCATAGGTAACGCGCTTCTATTATAAGACAGCTCATTTTGCGGCATTTGCACGTTGCATGCAAGCTGAGGGTACGCTGATGTTTGCTGCGTATTGTTTCGGGTTGACTCTTGGTCAATTTGACCGATTTGTTGATTTTGATGGTTTCGAAGATTAGGTGGTAATAAACCTGGAGATTGGAAGTCCAATAGTTTCGAGTGATCGTGGGCCCCGAGATTCTGCTGCATATTCATCAACTGGACTAAATTCAGCCCGGGGAAAATCGAGCTCGAAGCATCTTTTAGCCCAAACATATTATCCATATCCGAAACATCATCCGTAGTGAACTTAGGTCTGAAAAACGGGGGAGGACATATGTAAAATGGAGTGACAACTGGTTCGGTTTCCCAAATCGAGACTCTGCACGGACGATCGCCAGCTGTCGATTCGTCCCATCCAACCTACGGACGAGATCAACAGCATTAATTCCTTGCGGTGGAAGTTTGTTGTAATAAAAGTTCTCATTTTCTTAATTAGTATTTATTTATTTATTTACTACCTGAAGATTACGCCACTGCGAGTTTTTCCATCGAACGGGATCCAAATCGCAGACGCTAGTAACGGTTCCCATGTACCTGCGCACACCGGACTCCTCCGTCTCGAACATCATCCTAAACCGCATGCCCGACGAAACTTGCGCGTACATCGATTTGTTGTACTTTGCAAACGGGATCACAAACTCGGAAGGACTAGCCCTGTATCAGTGTCACAAAATAACATTTCGATTTGGCATTTCGGATTTAAGAATGTCGAATTTAAACGGTAGTATTAATTATTACTACCTAGGATTGTAGAATATAGTAAATGGGGTGCTATTTGCAGCGGCATGAGCTGCAGCTGCAAGAACTCCGAGATGCATGCTGTCACTTGATATTACAGACGAGGAGAGAGCGGGCTGCTGTGTGTTTGCTCGTCTTACACCTAGCCGAAGCTGCGACTTTTCGTCTCTACATAATTTAAATGTGCTTTAGAGTTAGCCAAAAAAAAAATTTTACGAGGTTGCAAAAGAACTTCGTGTCTGTACCTTATGAAAATAACAGTATCGCCAGCTACGAGTCTTTTAGAGCTCACGAATACACTCCAACCCGTTGTCAGAAGGTATCTCTTCGGTTGACCTGAAAAATCAAGAATCTATATATATGAATATATAAACACGACAAAACGTAAACGCATGCAGAGTAATTCGAATAAATTAAATTATACCTCGATAAATATGTCTGAATGTCCAGATTTGATCATGCAAGTCTCGAGCCGATATCTCCTGAGCCGGAGGTTGCATTGAAAAATCCTAAAAAAAATAAATTAAATTGACTCTTACAAAAAAAAAAGGGTAACGAATTAAGTCGAATATAGACTTAAAAAAAAATCATCGCATACGAGAGGTGGAAATATTTTCTCAGCTGCTCGACGAGGAACAGAGAAGCCGCCATGAGTGCTGGTGTCGCTAACTGTAAGAGTTTTGCAGAAAAACTCGGTAGGTTGTCTGTTGTGCTTAAGTCCTATATCGGAAACGAGTAACGCCTCCTGATCATACTATACGCATAAATTAAATAGTCAATCAACTCGGTTTTCGAACGATAAATACTAATTTCGAAATGAAATATTCGGGGACAAACTTTGGTAACTGGTTGAAGAGTCATTTGAGCATAGACCTCGTCGGTTTCGCCATCAGCCTAACGAATAATAAGTAAATAAATTATTACATCATTAAAATCCATGAATCGAGGTGCGAAATTTTCGTTTAGGATTTCCGTTTTGTCTTACGTGTAAGGTGACACTGTGGAGCATGCAGATCAATTTGGAAGGGAGGTTGGGATAACTTGGGATGCATTCTGCTTGTTTTTGCATTGATGCTGCCACCTTTATATTTATAAATAGCACCGAAAAATCATTTTTTTAATTCGGATATATATTTCGAAAAATTAAAAAAATAATAAAAAAAATGCTATACTTGTTCACTGTGGCCTTGAGGAAAATAAACAACAAGACTGGCTACAGGTGGCAAAGATACCAAAGGGCCGGCACAAGCATGCCATAGCTCTGAATTCATCACCTTCTTCTTTTCTCCTGTTTATATTTAAAAAGAAATTACAAACATAAATCCGGTAAATACGGCCCCACCCCTGAGCTAAAGTCAAATTACAAAAATACCCCTCATATTTTGGAAATTACAACCATCCTTCAACTATGAGTCTTCTTATACACCTACGTCAAATTCAACGGAATCTTCTGAATTTCGTGGAATGTTGTCTAGTTTGTACTTGTTTTGTAAAAAAAATGCAGTTTCTGATGCACCACAATTTCGCTCATATTTATAAGTTAAGAGACATATCTTATGATCATCTTGTTTTAAAATATGGAGCTCGAATGGGATAATACGGGTACAAAATAGAGAATATTCCATATAATCTAGAAGATTCTACTAAATTTGACACATTAACGGTGAATGTGTAAGAAGATTCATAGTTGAGATGGGTGGTCGTAATTACTCAAATATAAGGAGTATTTTCGTAATTTAACCTTAGTGACCGTAATTCACCCATTATTTTTTTACAGCAATGAAAAAAACAAAAAAAGGCAAAAACACTTGTAATGGAAATGATGGAAAAATGGAAATAAATAAATAAATAATACTACTGAGTAATAATAATAATAATAAAAAACAGTAACAGATGAACAGTACCTTCTGCAGATGAAATTAATTCACCGGATGTAATCTTCATTGGATGAAAATTCACTCTGCAATTAGAAACCCAGTTTCAACAGAAGACAAAATTGGCGGGAGGTGAAAGATTGAGGTCTCGAAACGCGTGTTTTCTTTCATAATCCACTCTCAATTTGACAAAGCACCAGCCAATTAAACAATGGAGGTTGTCGTAAAAAAATTAAAATTACTACAAATGGAAATTAAAGGTGTAGCCAGCCCACGTGGGAAGGCCGGTGGTGGGAGAGTATATGTATATGTATATATATATATATACACACAGAATTAAGCGGCGGAGCAGCCGGGATCAAGGCGGTGCGGGAGGTGCAAGGAATCTCCGAACTCGCCGGAAAACCCGACGCCAATTAAAAAAAAAAAAAAAAACAAATCTAATCTAATTTCTTTTATTTGCAGAAGTAAATTGCACGATAGTCAGTTAACCATCACTCCATCATCGTATAGTTGTAATAATTCATGCTCGTCATCATATATACATACGTATTATACGTATATATATGTGTGTGTGTGAGTGTGTGTTTTGGGTAGAGTAGAGAGGAACAGGCCGACATATAACCAACCGGAGGAGAATTAAAGAAATAACGAAACTGCATTATATTGCGTGTTCACCTCTTTCATTACATATATAGTCAATTTTTCATCTTTATTTAATTACTCATGGATTAATTTAATGATGTAATTAATTAATACTATACTTAAAAAAAGGTTAAGCTTTATAATTGCACTTTATTTTAATAAGTATTGTTTTACACTTCAATATAGTAGTACTACAATGATAGGTGCCTAGCTAGGGGCTCAACTTAAATACAATAAAATTCAAGCATAAAGGATATAAAATAAATTATTATTATTATAATATAAAAGGATAAAAATGCGGTTTTACCCGATTTTATGGCCCTACCCGGTTAAACGAATTGTCAGTTTATTGGTAACCCGAATAATATATAGCCACATATTTAAAGGAAATCTTGCATTGGATCTTGAGAATAATGATTATTCCAGAATAAAGGAGAATAGTGAAGTTATTTATTCACTAATTACCTTTTTTTTTAAACTTTGTTACATGAAGTTTATATAGATTCTTTGTAATAGAAATTTTCCAATATTTATTGCTAAGATTTCCTCAAAAATATTTTGTATAACTAACGGTCCGCCCTTATATTTAGAATTTACTAAAAAGTCACTTGGACAGTTTAGAGTGAAAATAGACAGTTTAGACTGAAAAATAGATAATATGGTTGGAGAGTTTAGACTGAAAATTGACAACTTAATTGGAGAATTTGGACTGAAAATATACATCTTAAGTGAAAATAACATTTTGTTTTTCCAATGATGTTGCGGCAGAGACATAGTCAGCGGCATGCAACTGGTGGAGAGAGGCGGAAGCGTGAAAGAAATGCCATCTTTTGTGAGAACTGAGTTGTAGAATAAGAAGCTATTTTCAATTTAAAATAATTATTTTCTGACTAAGCTCTGTGGCTAAACTGCCCGAGAAATTTTTAACGAAATGCGAAAATATGACTGTTATGATTTAAAAGGTTATTAGTGCTCGAAATGTTTAACAAATCATCCCTTAATTATTTGTCGATTCACATTTGGAAGTACCAAATTACTTTATAAAATAGGGGCAGTGATCATTCATCCACGCATCAATGTATCGCGAATACACGATGAACCAAGAATATTATTATTTTATTTGTAATAAAGTATGTATCTATTTAAATATGCAATTAAGAAATGGCACAAATGTAGGATGGCAACTTAAGTGAATTATAATAATTAATTAATTAAATGATGTCCCCATCATAAAGATATGCAAAGAACAACAAGTTCATTAGACCACTAAGCCGAAATTATCGGAGGATTTGCACATGCCACAAAGTTAACCAAGTCATTAACTATGATGTTAACTGTTAATTAATTAGGTGGTGTTTGCAAATGATTATTTAAAAGCAGAAGTTAGTGATTGTGATTTAAGTTAATTTTAAGTGCTTATTTCTAAAAGCTGTGGGTATTTGCAAATATTTCGGAAAATGAACTAAAATTGAAAAAACAGGGTTATGGTTGCTTTTAAAAAAATAGCTTAAAGTAGATTATTTTAAGAGAAGCAAAAGCAAAAGTGATTTGAAAACACCTAAAAACAGATTATGTGCAAAAAAAACCGCATAATCACTTTCAAAAAACATTTGCAAACACCACCTTAATACTAAACTATTTTTTTTATTTTAAAAAAATAATGGTATTGAACATGTACAGAGACACCATGTTTCACACAATATAAATATATTATAGCAATTTTTTTTAGTTCTAAGTTTGATTCATTTAAATTAATATATATATATATATATATATATATATATATATATATATATATATATATATATATATATATATATATATATATAACAAAAAAAAATTATAGACAGAATGTCAAATAGACAAGATGGAACTCTATAATTAATGATTTTGACTTATGAAGCAAAATGCACAATATAATGTCAGTTCTAATTAATTTGGAGCTGACCTTAATTTAAATAAATAAATACACAAACAGTTATTATTATTATTATTATTATTATTATTATTATTATTATTATTATTATTATATTTATTTATTTATGTTTTTTTTTTTTGAAAACC